CAGACTCTAGAAGCACTTCGAGAGGAGTTGGTGGTTGCCTGGAATGAGATACCACAGGAGGACATTGACCACCTGATCAGAAGCATGCCTAGGCACGTTGGAGAATGCGTAGCACATCAGGGTGCATCCACACATTATTAAAGGTCAAAGGACTTTAAAGCAGTGCAATCATTTTGAAATTTTTATCATTTACTTATTATGCTTCATTAAGTACTTATACAAAATTTTATTAAAATAAAACCATTTAAACTGGGTGTTCGGATTTATATATCACTTAGTATACATTGAGAAATGAAGTTGAAACAGAAAACAGGTATTGATTTCCAAGGATGGATGGTAAATACAAAGCTGGTAGAGACGTTTATAAGCGATGATTCTCAATAAGGAGTGACTATCTTTCATGAGTCATATACTCGTATTACGCTTATCTCATGAAATTTATTTCTTTAGTTTTCTGATGTATCTAGTTTAAATGTTCAATATAAATATGGCGAATCAAAATTATGTGCTTCTAAAACATTGAATAAAAAGTACAAAAGGGTGTGGTTTAGAGTACTTTAGACTATTTGAAAACTACTATTTTCTTTTAAGGTTTTCGGAAAACCAAGGTATAGGGTACACAAGATTTTCGAAAAACAAGCTTCTACTAGTGTTTTACTACTCTTCAAAATGACTAACTCACCTAAATTGTGGTCCCCCAATCTTCATCTCATAGACCGCCAAACTCTTTCAAAGAATATATAGCTCAAAATATACGCGAAAGAGGATGGTACATTAGATTTGGGTGGAATTGTAAAAAATTTAATATTACAGCTTGATTGAAAGTCCCCATGGGCCAAAAATTCGATGATGGACAATTAAGCCACGGAGGATCAAAGTTGGGCAATACAGCTTATGCGTCTGCTTAAAAAAACCTTTCGCACCGTTCGATTCTGGTAATAGATATCACTTTGTGTTTTTGTATTTCGATATACCTGATACTCTGAATAGAGAAGAGTTGCTCAGCTTTCGAGACCGAGACCAGGCCTACATCATGATGAGTTGCCAAATAGCACGAAACAGCTATCCATGGTTGACAGTGTATGTGTGACAGTGTTGGGCAAACGAAAGCTATATAACTAGCCCAAAATTCCAGTTATCTCAACTTGTCAAACATTTACAGTCTGACATAAACTCAATAGAGATCGTAACTTTGATAGATACATGCAATACATGTTATCTCTGTTGAAACATTACAGGTTCTTCTTAGGTGAATTGAAAACTAGCATTGCTGAATACATGCAAAATTTTTGCATTGTATATGTGGCAGTTGCATATTGAATATACAGGGATATTCGACTTAAAAGGTGTTGATCCTCATAAAATGCAACAAAGGTAAAAAAATCATATCCAGTCTGGATATTTCAAACGCTCACATATATTTACGTTTCTCCTGGGCAACGTTGTTATTGTGCAAAATCGTTAATAGTGCCTGACATATGTGATATTAAATATTTAGCGTGCTTAGACGAATCAACCTGTACAGCCGTAAAAAATGAATTTAAAACTCTTTTATGTCCATTTGAGCCCGGAACATAGTGTATATTCAAAACAAAGCGTTTCGAAAATTGTCAAAGGACAAAATGTTACTATTCAAAAAGTCTCCTCATGGATTTTCGCCTCGTGTGTCCTATGTTTGAAAGCACCGCCTATATACAGTACTTAGGAAATCACAAACGTTATTCATTGAAATGTAGATTTCTAAATCAGTTGCGGATAACAGTTGAGAAAAGCATAAATCACGCTTGCAAGAGTATTGAAACATTTCCTGGAAGCTTGAAAGCAGATTTCCAACACAAAAGCGCTTTATATTTGAAGTAAATAATAGACAGATGAATCCACCTGTGTTTCACAACCGAGAAATGAATTGCTAGCGTTGTGAGGATTCCTTTATGTTGTTTAGTGGAATTTCCTCAGAACTTCCAACGATGTGGAAAACCTCGTTGAGTTTTCTGCTGTGCTGCTTGAACTTGGGTTTTGAGCAGATAGCATTCCCTAATGGCAAAGTTTACAAAATAAAGAGAAGTAGGACCTCTGACGACAAATCCGTATTCTCAGAAAAGGTACAAAAAAATTGAGATAACGTATACCCCGATGCATTAACATAGAATTTGTATGTACATTAACACTATGCATTTGTGGTTTCTCTTTTTTTGGATTAATCACTAAAATTGTACGAATATTGTGAATAAACTATTATAATCTTCGAAGTTGAGTCATTTATTTTAACAGTGAGTAGATCTGATCAAAAGAAATGTTTTTTTCCTTTACCATTTTTCTGGTAAAATTAAAGTAACAAAGTTATAGCCCTTTGGAAGTTTGAGTACCGCCCTGTCTCAATAATAATATCATGTACTCGTGTTTGGCAACAACGGATATAATCCGCCTTACCGGTTCATCGCATCGGAAACAAAAAAGCGAAAGAATTTGGAACGACGTTTTTGCAATTAAGTATTTTATTCAGTTCAGTTATACATACAGTCAGTATCTGTCGGTTAGCGTGTGAATAGTTTCTGTTGCGTGGCTCAAACGAAATAAAAAATGGCACATGTTTATGCGGATCGGTTTCCCAATCGAGTGCAACCAACCCCTCGTGCCTTTGTTAATGTAGTACAACGGGCTCGTGAATCAGGTGACTTAAGACCTCACAGGGGACCTCACGATCAAATACAGGTCCGCACTGAAATACTTGTCGGGAGGATACTTTATAAAACAAGGTAAAATTTTTTTTTTTATTTTTTTTTATTTTTACACACATATTCTGGTTTATCTTCCTTCTACAATCATTATCAGAAAATTAATGACTCAACTTCAAAGTCACCCTGTATATAGTGTTGGATAATCCCGTTAAAGAAAGGTTAGTTCTCAACCTAACACTATGTTCTCGCGTCCAAAAAGTTATCTGAGATGAAATGAGATACCGCAGCGTCATGAATGATAATTTGTCACAGTTATATGCTTCTCCTCTCTGCACTTATTAGAAATCTACTTTGAAATTGAACAATTAGCATCTGGGATATATTTGGCTTTAGTGCCATCTGTGAGATGGTAACCTTCATATAGTAGATTTCTAATTATTATGGAGAGGAGAAACAGCTGTGACAATTTCTCGTAAATGACGCTACGGTATTTCATTACATCTAGGATGATTTTTTGGACGCGAGAATATAGTATTAGGTTGGCTATATTGAGGTAGAACACGTATGTCAAAGTTTTAGCATATTATATGTGATACGATATATCTTTATTCCATTTTGCTGGTAGGGTATATCTTAGAATATACTCTTTGACCGCAGGCTTGATATAAGCCAATGTACTGAGTTTCTGAGCTTAAAGAGGTACTGCTAACTTTGTGAGAATTGTGCTTGGTGGAGTATTCTTGGACCGTTCAGTGAAGTTAAATTAACTAACTACCAGTAAGAGAGGCCATGTATCAAACTTTACTATGGAGGGAAACACCTCAGAAGACTGAGGGATCTTTGTAAATATGTAAAAGGTTCAGATATCGCCAAAACTAATATGGCTAGATGGAACTGTAGGCAATATGAGTTAATAGACATTTGTAATATATAGGTATGCTATTTATGATCATATTTTTGTGGATAGCAACTGTAGTGTATCTTATACAAATAATGTATACAATATTAAACCTAAAAATACGATCTGGGAACTGAAAACCAGAAAATAATGGTAAGAATATAACAGCACTATTTGTATATAACATTATACGGTAGTCATGCGTATTAGGAGTGTACAAAACCATTATGTAACCGCAAACACATTAGTAAAATTTATCAGTGTAGTAATCTGAGGTTTGTTATCAAAGACTTTGGCCAATTGTTGAACGATAATACTTTTTTGGTCTAAATGAAGGAAATTTCAGGAAAATGCATCTCGGATATGATGCAGGGAATGGGCTCAATAAAAAATCATTACACCCCAATGCTTTTCTGGGCGAATCAAAGCCACATAGTCTAAAATTATTTATTAAACAATATTTCGAACCCAACGGTCACCTTTAGAGTCAATTGACACTTTTTAACAACTTTGATTTATCTGTCTTCCAAGTGGCACTTCGTTTGTTTTTATCTTTGCGTTCTAACAGGATGTTTTCCGTCAAGTCAAAGTCTAATTTTCTTTATGGAGTACAACTTTGTGAGGTGATTGATAATGACACAAGACCAGCAAAAGGTCATTAATGTGTTTATAGTCTTTCTCTAAATTTAACAAGTAATTTTATAATCTAGAAGGGAAAGAGTCAATAATCAGATTTTACATCTTGCACATTGATTTACTTTTGTTTATTTCATCTATGCTGATACTGGTACCTGGTATCTATAAAAATATAGTAATGACACATGCTTCTACAATTTATGATGATTGATGATTATTTTCAAAATTGTCGACAACATTGAAACGTATTACCTCCCATTTGAAAATTACAAAAAATGTCAAAGCTGTATTGTAGAGTCATATTGGCATATAGCTCCAAAAATTCATAATGATGAAGCCTAGCAAAAATTTCAAACTTCCGCACCAAGTCTTAGATCGACAACAAACACAAGTTTAATCACGATAGGCTGATAATTTCATAAGAATTAAACTAGTGACGAAGAATAGTTCCTTCTGGAAGTGCCGTTGATGTCTGACACATTACAAAATTATGAACTGCCTACATCAAGCCAATCACTGACTTGTATCAACCGCAAAGCAGTAAATTCTTCCTCAACACGTACTGGGCATTCGCAACGCTGGAAACAAGCGCGAATCAAAAACATACAAATACGCGCGTTTCCAGGCCACCGCGATTACGAAGATGTCATGCACCGAATTTTTCGAAGACTTGTACTAGTGATAAAGATGAAGGATAGTTTCTTCCAAGATCATAAGAAAGTGTAGTCCTTAATGCTTATGTCCGAGTTTATCACTTGAAACTCCACAGTACCATGCAAACAACTAACCTGTCTCAAGCCCAAAGCAGCAAATTCGCCTTCAAAGTTTTGTACGCATCCGCGATTCAACCTGGACTCGCCAATTAAAAACAAACGAAAGCTGTGCGCGTTTCCAGGCAACCGCGACTCACGAAGAGGTCTGGCGTCGTAGGCTAGGACGGCAACGCTCAGCTGTTTCCGCGGCGTACTACCAGCCCGCTAGATCGGAGAGCAGCGAATGCACGCACGGCGTATGCGTGGGCGGCTGTGGAACGTGTGCCACCATTAAAAAAAAATAGAAGAGGGAGAGAGAGGGAGGGTACAAATCCAGATGCGCGTTCCAGGAGCTGCTGATGCAGACGCATGTGTGGCGTGTGCCATGCAGGTTTTTACATAGGTATCGGTGCGACTGTGCAGCCTTGATACAGTGCAATTATTTTGTATTTTTTTACAGATTTTAAGTTACTTTTTTATAGGTTTCACATTCTACTTCATACCTTTGCCGCCTTAGCTAGCTTCACCTTTTTTTTTCAATCATTGAAATGATTTTTAGAAGGCAAAAATAAAAACGATACGTATCAGATTTTCTTCATTTTGCCTTTTAATTTAAATACAATACTAAGTTCTGAAGACCAGCAGGTATGAACATATACCTATATATATATATATATATATATATATATATATATACAGGGTGACTTTGAAGTTGAGTCATTAATTTTCAGATAATGATTGTAGAAGGAAGATAAACCAAAATATGTGTGTAAAAATAAAAAAAAAATAAAAAAAAATGTTACCTTGTTTAATAAAGTATCCTCCCGACAAGTATTTCAGTGCGGACCTGTATTTGATCGTGCGGTCTTGGAGCAGCATGCCCTCACCTGTGAGGTCTTAAGTGACCTGATTCGCGAGCCCTTTGCACTACATTAACAAAGGCACGAGGGGTTGGTTGCACTCGATTGGGAAACCGATTCGCATAAATCCGTGATGCATCCGGGAGCATTTTGTAAAGACTGCCCCCCCCGTAAATAAGAATCATGTCCACAAGTTCAGCATTTTCGTAAACATGTGCCATTTTTGATTTCGTTTGAGCCACGCAACACACTACTATTCACTTACGCGTTATCGACTGACGAAAAACATCGTGATAAACGTTTCAAATTCTTTCGCTTTTTTGTTTCCGATGCGATGAACCGGTCAAGCGGATTATATCCGTTGTCGCCAAACACGAGCATATAATAGGCAGGGCGGTACTCAAACTTCCAAAGGGCTATAACTTTGTTACTTTAATTTTACCAGAAAAATGGTAAAGGAAAAAAACATTTCTTTTGATCAGATCTACTCACTGTTAAAATAAATGACTCAACTTCGAAGTCACCCTGTATATATATAGGTGAAAAATTAAAGCTTCCGCCTTTTGTTGGGTACTTCGGCAAAATTTAAGCAAAGAGGACTCTTTATACTTTTTTTAATTCTCTCTAGCTTTCAATGGACTTTGCCATCATCATCAGGAGCTGCAATTACAATGATAACAGTAGCAACAAAAGTGTAAAATGAATTTAAATTGAATCAACTTACAGTAGTATGTGAGGATGTTGCTAATTGTTGTTTTCGTATAGGATGAGGGAAACGTCCAGTAACATGGTGAGAGCTGGATACATGATACAATGGTTAAAATTATATAAAATATGACAAGACAAGTTAAAGACAGATTAAAAATTATTTAGAAAACATTAGAGCATTACGTCGTGAAGCCACTTGATGATTGCACAAAATGGTGGTCATGGAATAATGAGTGAGATGAACCTTTGACAGAAGGCCGAAGGTTGTCAATGTCTGTGTTGAAAGATGGAACGAATTGTGGGCGTGTGCCAAAACGTTGCCAAATCACTTCAGATGATGTGATTTTCAGAATGTTATGTAAGAAATTGTTAAACCGACCAGAGGTAGTTGAATAAACTATATTTTAATTAATGGGAATTTTAAATTAACAATTATTAATAAATCGTGAGAAGAGAATTATTAGATTTTGAGTGGAATGAAATTTGTTGGTGGAATCGGCCAAAACACAGATTACATTTATGGTTGTGAAAAGTCGAAATTTGGGGAGATATGTAAGTTCTCCAATTTTTCGCAGTTTAGCAAATATGAGTAAATGACACTCAGTTGTTTAATATCTGTCTTTTTGTTGATACAGTTGTTATTCATGAAAATGTGGGACATTTCCAGGAATAAACGTTTGGAAAGGTGTTTTTCTTTATCAATAACTTTGATACTTGTGTAATTCATAGAATGCCCTGTTGTGTTAACATGAGACGCTAGATTGAAGAAGGAAATATCTCGTACTTATTTTAAATAGGAATTTAGTACATAGTTTGCGATTGATTTGACCTAAATTTGTTGCTAAAATAACTTGTAACGCTTTATTACATAAATTAACCATGGTATATTCCACAGCCGAAAGAGTTGAAATTATCGAAATATATAAGGAACGAAGCAATAGAAGTGGGGGTTTCAGGGTAAGTTTATCTGGATCCTACGTTAAGTACCCGCAAATTGGAGACGTGTGTGGTGTTAGTCGACGTACTGTCCAACGGATTCTAAAGGCCCATAGTTTTCATCCGTCTAAAATTCACCTGGTACAAGAACTTAATGAAGACGATTTTGATCGGCCATTACAATTTTGTGAAGATATGAGTGAACGAATTATAAACGATGAACATTTTCTATTCAACACTTGCTTTTCCTACGAATGTTCCTTTTTCTTAAATGGCGTAGTAAATCGTCATAACTGCCGATATTAGTCCGATTCTAATCCCAGAATTTATCATGATGTTCATACACAGCAGCCACAAAAATGTTTGGCTGGTATTTTTGGCGATCATTTAGTTGGTCCGTTTTTCTTACCTGGAAATTTGACCGGTGAAATGTATTTGGAATTACTGCATTAACAGCCATAATTGAAAATCAGAATGATCGGCGGTACATTGCAAATAGGTTGATGTTCCAACAGGATGGTGCCCCACCACATTACGCATTACGTGTTCGACAATATTTAGATCAGACGTTTCCAGATCGATGGATTGGTAGAAGGGGTGCCATTGAATGGCCCCCAAGATCGCCAGATTTATCACCTTTGGATTTGTTTATGTGGGGTCATTTAAAAAGCACAATCTATGCTACTCAGCCAACATCTTTAGAAGATCTGCTACAAAGAATTGTGAATGAGTGCCTTCAAATTACTCCTCAAATATTGCAAAATGTGCGGCAACGTTTTGAGCAAAATCTTTATTATTGCATGGAGAGTCATGGTGGCCATTTTCAACATTTACTTGCCTAACGGGTCAGATTATTCTTCATTTTTAAATTACTTTGCTGCCAAATGTATTGATCTCCACTAATGATGATGTATTAGTTTTATTTGAGCTTTAAATCAATAAATCTTCAAAACTACTGACATTAATTTTATATCATTATAAAGGGAATTGACCCTTTCCATTTAAGATTTTGGAGGTGGTGTCACCCCCGCTTAGGGGGCTGCACGTGATTTTTTGCCAAAAGTGTGTCCCCCTCGAAAACAAAATCGACGGGTCTGAGCGTTTAAAAAAAACAGCTGCCAGTAAATGCGTCTGTTTCGTTTTCGATGCGCCACCCTGTATATATACAGGGTGGCCAAACACGTGACGTCATAAAAAAAAATTAGATTCCCCACATCGAGAGGAACCCAAATCACCCCCATATATATGGTCCGATTTTGTTTAGTTTAGGAGTTATGATTTTTTTTCGGATTTTTCGAGAATTTTTGAGTTCTGTGTTTATTTTTACCATAACTTCGTTAATAATTGTGATAAATGCCTGCTTTTTTCACGATTATGTAGCTAAGACCTAAGGCTTAACTATCATATAATCATTCAAGTCATGTAACTAATACTACTTTTTAATTTTTTTCAAAATCTTCGAACATAACAAAAAAGTAAAAAAGTGCAACAACTTTGAACGTTTATAAAAAATTGAAAAAACATGTTCTTACTATTCGTAAGTATCTTAAAAACTTTCTTACGGTATCAGCTATTTACCGTAAAAATTTCATCAACCTAGCTTTACTACATGCTACCGTAATTGTGGCTCAAATAGAACCGAACCCAAAATTGGATAACCCTCTGCTCAATAGAAATTGTTAGTTTCGGAAAAAAAATTTGCAAAAACCACAAAAACACGTTTGATTTTTACTGAACAGCAGATTATTATTCATTTATGTTATTTACAAGAGGTTTTCAAAATGTCTGCATCTAACAGAAATGCACAGTGTACACCTACGTATGAAATTTTGTTTTAAATCTCTACATGCTTGTGTGTTGGTTTTCAATACATGTGTCGCTTCTTGAATTTTGTTCCTCGATGAATTTTCATTTGCACATTCTTGGGCGAATGTTATGTCTTTAAAATATCCCCAAACAAAAAAATCAATGGGGTTGAGGTCAGGGGAGCGTGGAGGCCATCGTATCGGTCCGTTTCGTCCGATCCATCTGTCTGGGAACCTTTCGTTTAAGTAGTTTCGCACGATCGTTGCGTTGTGGCATGGTGCACCATCATTCTGGAACACCATGTTCCGTCTGGCTTCCAGGCTTGAATCTTCCAGCAATAATGGTAGGCTATTTTCAAGGAAGCTTTTGTAGGCTACCGAATCCAACCTTGACGGCAGTTCAAATGGACCGATAAATTCCATATTGAATATTCCTGACCATATGTTCACACTAAAACGGTCTTGAAATGTCGACGGCCTTGACTGGTGGGGGTTTTCAACAGCCCAAGTATGTAAATTATGGATATTGAATATCCCTGTTCTTTCAAAACGTGACTCGTCAGTCCATAAAATTTTATCAAAAAAATTGGGATCCTCTCGTTGTCTTCGGAGCATTGTCTCGCAGAAATCCACTCTTAACTGGTAATCTGAAGGCATCAACGCTTGAACTCTTTGAACATGATAGGCATGATAACCTTCTTCATGAAGAATATTTTGTATCGATGTTCGTGGTATTCTAAGGTTTTGTGCCATAGATCTCGTACTCGTTGAGGGATTCCGGCTAATTTCTTCAAGTACTACTTCTCTGCGATCCGGATCAGCTGTAGGATATCCTTCATTGCTTCCTCGTCCTGGAATGCGGCCTGCCATGAAAGTGTTATGTGTGTTAATAAAAACACGGTGGTCTGGGTAATGCTCAGGTTGTGGTCCGCCTCGGCGTATAAGTTGTTCCCGGTACAGCTGAG